ATGACTTCATTCAACAATGATGAATTTAGATGTCCTCTAAAGGATGGATTTAAAATATTAAAAAAAGACATTGGTTCATTACCACTTAATCGAGCCATACGTGATTTAGTAGAATCATATGGTAGGTGGAGTATTGTATCATGTAAAAATAAGTTAATCTTATTTCGTTATAAGAAAAATAAAAGCAAAGGAATACTATAGTGAAGACGATTTAAGTTGATATAAATGTTCTCTAAGCGATGACCAACTTTTTGACTCACAGTATCAGATTATTTTACTCATACTTGTTTTCAAAGGTTTTTCATATATATATAATCAATTTCATCTTTTCATATTTGTCTATATGTTATTTTCAATCTGATGCGTCTTTTAGATTCAACTCAACATTCAAATCTGTGTACTAATTGCAAGTTGGCTGTGGCTGAGTATAAATGTGACACATGTAAAGATGAAAATTTTTGTTCCGAGTGTTATCAAAAAGAACATACATCGCGCATCATGCAGAAACATCAACGGCTCTCCATCGATGAGAAATTACCAGAAATGATGCTATGTGAAACACATCCGAAAAAGGAATTGGAATATTGGTGTTACACGTGTCGAAAACTCATTTGTATTGATTGTCTCTTATTTAATCATAAAGATCACAGACATGCATCGAAAGATGATGTGGCAAAAGAATTAGAAACACAGGTCAGTATCATTTCTACCTGACAGATTGGATACAATATAATCTTCTCTTTTGTTATTTAGATAAACACTTACTTACAAGCTATTCAATCAGCTTTAGAATACAGACATAATCAAGCAGACATATTAATAAATGTAATTGATAGTGATTGCAAATATAGTAGATTAAAGATTGCGGAAGCTATGACTTTATTACGTGAAATTATTGATAGGCATGAGAAGACAGTATTACAACAGATTTCGACTATTGAACAAGAACAAAAGAAACAACTTGAAGATTATAAAAATCCATTAAAAAATGAATTACACAATTTGAACATACAAAAAGCAACTTTTGAAATGCTCATCACAAGCAACAATTCTACAAAACTACTACAAATGAATAAGAAATTTGATGATTATATGAATAAAACAAATGCAACACTAATATCATTTCGAATACCAACTAGAACTGAGTATCATTTAGAAGGACTTGATCAATTTCAAATTTTAAAGCAGAAAATTGAACAATATGGACGATATGTTGAAATTCCACCTTATCACAACTCAGAACTTGAGCAATTTATTGCTGAAAATCGAACAAAGCAAAAATTCGATTTAACTGGTCGAAATTTAACCGATTTAGATATGAAAATTGTGGCGGATGTCTTAAAAGAAAGCATGGTAAGTAAACATGGCTTCGGTTGACTCGTTATTCTCCTTAAGAAAAAGTATTAGTGGTTTACGGTAACCTTTTACGGGCATTGTTTACGGCGATCGTAATACGCTGTAAAGTGTCGTTTATCACGGCTGTAAACGGCTACCGTAAACAGTCGCCGTTATCCGCCATGATTGGTTAGTGTACGGCCGACCACGATTGACCTAAGAATTCTTTCTTACGGGATACATTGAAGTTAAAAATTAATATGAAACTTTCCGGCAAATTTTAATTATTAATAATTAATTTGGAATTGTTACATAACTAAAACTTCGACATGAGAGTAAGTGTTTTTCACAAAAATGAAGCCCATTGAATTCTGCACTGAGCAATATATCAAATAGCTTTCAGCTACCAATGAATAACCAAAATATTCGCTCAATACTAAAAATGTACTTAACTTTGTTTTCCCTGGACAAAAGTTACTCGTGTAATGAAAACAAAAACACCTGAATTCAAAAAAATTTTCGTATCTCAGTTTTATATGTCGCCCTGAGAGCTAACGAATCAACGTTTGGATATTCTCAATAAACTGTTATTCGTCAAGAATCAATAAAATAAAAAGTGTACTAAACTTTTATCATCTATTTTAAATATGAACACGTGTTCTACAGATGATAGCGATAGTTATATAAAAAAACTAGCCAAAAAGCTTCCTGTCTTTATCCTTATCATGCACTTCTTTTCTAATTTTTCACAGACACTTACCAGTCTCGGCCTCGCAGAAAACCAAATCGGACAACAAGGAGCCCAACATATTGCTAATGCTCTCAGAACGAACCAAGTAACTAGTCTTTCTATTTTATTGTCATCACATACTCTCTCTCTTCTCATTATACACAGACACTTACCATACTCTACCTCAAAGGAAATCAAATCGGAGAACAAGGAGCCCAACATATTGCTTATGCTCTCAGAACGAACCGAGTAACTAGTCTTTCTATTCACTGTCATCACATACTTTTTCTCCTCATTATACACAGACACTTACTGAACTCTACCTCGCACACAACCAAATCGAAGAACAGGGAGCCCAACATATTGCTGATGCCCTCAAAAGGAACCGAGTAACTAGTCATTATCTTCACTATCATCACACACTTTTCGGCTCATTTTACAAAGACGCTCACGATACTCGGCCTCACAGAAAACCGTATCGGTCATCAAGGAGCCCAATATATTGCTAATGCTCTCAGAACGAACCAAGTAACTAGTCTTTCTATTTATTGTCATCACATACTCTCTCTCTCCTCGTTATACACAGACACTTACCACACTCTATCTCAAAGGAAATCAAATCGGAGAACAAGGAGCCCAACATATTGCTTATGCTCTCAGAACGAACCAAGTAACTAGTCTTTCTATTCATTGTCATCACATACTCTTTCTCCTCATTATACGCAGACACTTACCACACTTGGCCTCCAACAAAACCAAATTGAAGAACAAGGAGCCCAACATATTGCTTATGCTCTCGAAATCAACCGAGTAACTTCTCTCTCTTTATTTTCATCATACATCTTTTTCTGTTCGTTTTACAAAGACACTTACCACACTCGATCTCAGAGAAAATTCGATTGAAGAAGAAGAAATTCAATGGATGCAACAATCTTTGAAGTCAAATAAAAACTTAACCGTGTATTGGTGATGTCCGACGAAACCAGTGCTGATTTCTAATATAATTTCCTTGTTTTAATGAAAATTAAAGTAATTGTCTGTGTCATGTCATAATTTCTGCAAAGTTATCATGAATATAATGATGAATCAACTGTTTGTTTTGAGATAAATAATAATAATAAGTGAACATTCCGCTTTTTGCATTCGATGATGTGATATGATACCTATCAGAGAATAGCTGTTAATAAAAAAGTGAATTTAACATATGGGAACATTAAGATTGTTTGACTTCAAAAGTTTATCGATATCAGGATGAAGAAGAAAAAATCTATGTTGCTGTTTCTGAGAACTAATAATTCACGTGTAAGTCTTTCATTAATGGACGATGTTTAAACGACAATTTATAGTTTCAATGAGTGTCTTTAAAGTTCATAGAAACAGATTGATGAGTGTATGTTGATAAGCTTGATTACCAATTTGAGGAAAAGGTCGTCAGAATATGACTATTAATTTATTGTTATAATCATTATGGAGAAAACCAAGCAAGAAATGTTAAGAAGAAACAGAAACCTTTAATTTCATTAAGTTTTGTTTTTGTTTTGGCGTAGAATATGCATGAGTTATATTGAAGATTTCTCTAAAAAACATGTCTGTATTTTATAAATTTCAATTATTCATTATTTCTTATGAACATCGACAATCACTCAATGTTGCGAATTAATATTCCCATATCTTTCATTTAATAACGATAATATAGTTTTTGGTCTCATCTGAGCTTTTCGATGCTTTTTATCCATTGTTCTATGAATAATACCATAAATGAGTCAAAAATTTCTCAAATTTAATTTTTTCATCTCATCCGTTTTTACACTCAATTTACTTTTAATAATTTAGTAGATTGCCATATCATCTATTAAATGATGTTACACTTGTCTTTTTTATTGTAGAATTAATTACCATTGATGACATACAAGAAATTGCTTCAATCGACTTAAGCATTGCTCATTACACAAGTCCTGTTGAGACGTTTTTAGGATCATTTATCTTTTGTTACATTCAAAATGTTCATTACAAATAGATTGCCTCCAATCGTAAAAGTTCCAAATAAATGCAGTTAAAAGCATGACTTGTTTTGATATTGATTAACCACTAAGCCGATTCTATAGTGCATGCTTTACTTGCGTAGATCTGATTATCAGTATCATGAATATTTTATTTTATTATTTTTCGATTTATTTCATATCGTGTATTATTCAATTCTTTAACTTCATTAATAGAGAATACACATCAACATTCAATGAATAATTTTGTCAAGATATTGATTTTGATATTAGTAAAGTTTCTTCTTTCAGATAGAAAGAATCATACATTGATACAATCATATCCATTTCTAATGAAATCTAATTTATTTTTATTTTGTATATTGATTTTCATTATTTATATAAATAAAATGTTTATTTAAGAGAGAGAGAGAAAAACATAAATATTTTAGTCAAATATCAAATAATAAAGAAAAATTTATAATCAAATGATTAGTTAACGAAACTGATCTTGATCAAATTCATTTTTCTATTAATCTTTATTTAACTATGTAAGATATGTGGAACCTTGATTTTCAAACACACTGAAAATCTTTTCTTGGCTTGTTTTTTAATCATAGATAAAATAACAAAATACAAAGTAATCTAGTAATTTGATTCTTCTCTTACTCGTTTTTTTTTTCGTTGATATATTGACATTAAACATTTGTTTATCGGTGTATAGGTGTACCAAGCAAAAGAATGTCAATAGAAAAGGTGTAGACGTTTCGTCATCTGTTGTTCTTCTTGCTTTGTGTTTCATTGCATTGAAAATGAATATTTTTTTACCAGAGTCTACAGAAAATAGAATTAAAAAAACAATATTTTAGACGTATATTTAAATGAATATCATTCATATTGATCAACTGTCAATATATCAAATCTTGGAGAGTGTTTGCTACACACTACAGCGAAACCATCATGATTAATGACAAACCAAATTCAACAGCCATGCTTATTTTGTTTCTTCTGCCTCACAACGTTATTCCATTACTGTACCACACCCACACCCAACGGAGTAACGGAGGTGTTAAAGCAATAGGAGCGACGCCCTTGAAATATCTATGTGATGATCCACAGTGGTTCTGTCGCGAGCTGTAACAACCTATTACAATTCCAAAATTGTTGGAAATACATTCTAAATTAATGTGTAATAGGAAGAAGATTTCTGGCATATGGACAAAAATCTAAACTAAATCTTTCCCTCCATATATAATGGGGAAAAAGAAATGACATAACGTTTCGCACTGTAATGTCGTCAGAAAGCAAATAAAAAGCGCAACTTGTAAGTTTTTTTTTCTTTCCTTTCACACTGGTTAAGATAACAATGACACATGAGATACGAAAAAACATTCTTGTCTTACTTCGTTGGATAGGATTTCATGGAAAAAGCCAATGATGTTAGGTATTTTTCGAAATATCTATCGATTCAAAATAATATAAAAATGAAATTCATCATCATCATTTTACTGTGATCTAATTAAATCGCATCGATATGGCTACTACTGGTATTATTCAAATTAGAGATTCCATTAAACAATCTTCTCTACATAGAAGGTGCTCCTCTGTAAGTAAGACTGGAAGAGAACAGAAAACTATCATCTCAGGAACAGATATTCCACAACAAGAATTTATTATTGAAAAAAAGAAATATTCTTTAAATGAATCCGAATCAATACAAGAAATTCGAATTCGTGGTCTTTCTCATTGGCCACATTTTACACCAAGTAATGAATCAATGGCATCTGCTGGTTGGTTTTCATGTAATGTTAATGATCGAGTTATTTGTATATATTGTAATACAATTTGTCATGAATGGACAATCAATGATGATCCAATTGAAGTTCATACAAGACTTGCACCACAATGTCCATTTGTTCTTTCAATACCATCAGCAAATAATTCACCAAAAATAATTAATGATACATTTGATGAAAAATTTAAACCATTTCATCCTGAAATGGCTGAAATATCTCGTCGAGAAGCAACATTTTCTAATGTTAAGTGGACAGAAAATTCACCAAGTATTGAAAGTTTAATTCGTGCAGGATTCTTTTCTACTGGTATTGATAATTCAGTAACATGTTTTTATTGTAATGGTTCATTACATAAATGGAGTCCAAAGGATAATCCTATGATTGAACATGCTCGATGGTTTCCTCATTGTACTTATGTTAAACATTTATGTGGAAATCAATTTTATGAAAAAATTCAAACATCCAAAAAAAAACTTATCTTAACAAAAAATAATAAAATTGATAAAGATCAACTTACACGTTTAGTTCTATCACGACTTGATTTACCTATAGTTGAACGTCTTCGTTTACAATATTCATTAGCAATAATTAAACGTTGTATTGAAAATCAATTCAAAATTAAAAATGATGATTTTAAATCAGATATTGATTTAACAATGGCTTGTTTAATTCTTCAAAAACAAATTGATATTATTCAAGGTTCTACAGACAATATAATAATTCCATCAAAATCTCAACAATTAGATAATTCATCTCAATCATTAAAACAATCATTAGGTGAATGTTTCATATGTCTTACTGAAGAAAAACAATTAGCATGTATGCCTTGTGGACATTTATGTGCTTGTGTTCCTTGTGGATATGCACTTCAATCATGTCCAATTTGTAGACAAAAAATTCAAAGTTTTATGAGAATTACTTCTTAAGTTTTCTTCTAAAATTTTAGTCAATTACTTTTTCAATAGTTTTGTGGTATTTTTAAATAAATGTTATAAATATTCAATTTTAAAGACAACTATTGTATGATTAACAAACAAGATTGCCACTTCTTCTGCTTTTTTTCATAAGACAAACTTTGATTTATTTTTTTATTGAGAAATTCAAGACAATGAAATCTGCTAATATTAAGTTAGGTGTGGTAACTGCCATCTACAGTCTATTATTGCCTATATAATTCATTCTCTGTTCTATCCATGGAAAAATTTTTTGAATAAAATCGCGTTTTTTTTTGTTACATAAGTCAGACCGTTTATTCAATATTTTAACGAAATCGTGGTTTTATTCAAAAAAAATTTTCCGTAGATATTCCAACAAGCAACCCCAATGTTGAAAGTATTTTTTTCGAAAATGAGACATTTATTCAATAAGTATTGCAATTGAATATCAGTAGATTCAATAGCTGAAGAAATACAAATTCATTGAAATATTTTATTGCTGCAGGAACATACACAAACATCTGTTGTCTCAAAAAGAATTGATAACCAAAATTCATTCAAAAAATGATGTACTTAGTAAAATATCCCTGTTCTTTATGTATTATTTATTATGTTTTACAACTTTGAGAATAAATAAGTGTTAGAAGAGGTTGCAACTCTGTTTCTCGAATACAGTATTTATTCATATTTAGTCACTATTCTTGATTTGAACAAAGCTAATCGATATGATAAAATTGTCAGTCAGAAAAAGTACTAGCAATGTTAACATTCTTCATGAATGTCACGTATTGACATTAAGTATGTGCAGTGACGTAATGGAATATTTCACACTAGAAAATGAATATACCCAGTGAATGAGCAGAAATACAACGATAGAGAAATTCCAACATATGTTAAAATAGTAATAAGAAAACTCATCAGAAGAGTGTGAGTTACTATACATCCACTAAACGAGCTTCTTGAATCTATTCTGTCCAGATTCTTTTAATAGGAAAGAAAGAAAGAAAAGATTCTTGCCTGATCTTCATGACACATCGTGTGATGCCTTTGTGTACATGTGTCTATATATATATATATCAACGCCTCTACACTATTTATTCATTTCTAAACAACGACAGATAATAGTTATTGTGCTCACTTAAATGAAAAAATGTCTTATTTTCAAATAATATATGAATTCCATATCGATATTAGGTAAGTCAAAATATTTGAAAGTAAAGATGTATTCATTGAAATGTATTAATGAGTCAAATTATGGAT